GGAAGGGAATTACCACATATATAGAACTGCAAAATGGTGTCTATATATTAATCTCTATCATGAAGTTCATTCTTTTTTAGTTCCAAGTACAATACCGATGCCAACAGTTGCACTTATCTGTTCTATTGTTATATAGCTGTGGACTGGTCAGTGGGAACAGAAGCCAGTAGAAACTCAGCAGCCCAGCTATAAATGCCACTGTTATTAGCCCTACAACTCAAAAAACAACATTTCTGGTTTAGATCATCAAACATGGTGAACATATAATTCATGTAAATGTATCTGTGCAAAGAAATTCTTCCTTATGTATGTATATATATGATATGACTTGAAATGGCATGTGTGAGTTTTTAAGTTGGAGTTGAAGCAGATGATTACCTGGCCTGGGAGAAATTATAGCGGGCAAGCCCATATAATTACAAAAGATGTGAGCAACAAGAGGAGCCAGCAGATGCCCTGAGAGAAAAATATGGTATGAGCAAGCAAACTTTATACTTTGAGAGTTTGAGCTTAACAGCTAACACAAAGCTGATTGCCAAACAGGCCCTAGTAGGAAAAGTGACTAAATGATGGAAATATATAGACAAGTGTGGTTAAACAACCATGTCTAAGCATTTCCCACCTGTGCGGACATATAGAAATGAAGCATATGATCCAAATATGACAGTGTAGCCGAGCTGGAAACCTACAGAGATGAACGCATTAAATAATTATATCAGTATAACCATCAAGTTAGAAATGGTAATTTCATAGCTTCATCAAGATTGACTACTCTCTTGGAAATGGAAACTTCCACCAACACAAACAGGAAAAGGGCGAGAGTTGCATTCAAGTATTGAGAATGAGAGCTATACCAGCAACCACAAAAGCTTTGACCAAGCTACCCCTTCGCTGGGCATACTCCAATAAATGGTTCAGATGAGCTGCAAGGGAGTCACAACTGAGTTCACTCACGTTATAAAATGCAAAAATCACATATAAAATGCACAAGTATAATCTTCATCTCCTAATATAATATGCTTGTTAACGACAAGAGCAGTAACTAGTGAAACAAATATTGTTTCTTACCTAAACTGAAAAATATTGGGCAAAGAAACACAACAGTGTACACATTGAATCCTCCACAAAGAAGCAAAGGAATCATACACGCTCTAAAGACAAGCTCTTCTGTAAGTGGTGCCTGTTCAGTAAAACAAAAGTGGTTTTTATTATTGAACATTGAGTCTAAACAACATAACACAATAATTCAGAAGTAAACAAGTTGCAAGGGTATGTAGTAGGCAACCCTTAACTCAAATGGTCAAATCTCAATCATAAATGCAAAGCAAGAAAATAGGTTTTACTGTTTTAGTTACTAATTTCTTAAAGTTTGGCATTTAATAGTGGTGAAAGAAGTAAGACCAATTCATTCAACTTAGCTTCTTAGGCATATCGATATCACAACTTAGCTGACTTGACAACATAGTTATCACGGCGCCAAGGCGAGGCGCGGCGCCAATGGATCGCCATGACGCCTAGACGCCTAGGCGAGCGCCTAGGCGACAATTAGGCGACAAATTTTATATATATATATATATATATATATATATATATTCCTTTGTGTACATTTATATTATATTATATTATATTATATTATATTATATTATATTATATTATATTATATTATATTATATTATATTATATTATATTATATTATATTATATTATATTATATTATATTATATTATATTATATTATATTATATTATATTATATTATATTATATTATATTATATTATATTATATTATATTATATTATATGTTTTTTTCAAAAATAGAAAATAAAAAATGAAAACACTAATAGAAGACATCTTCTAATTAAAGCAAATATACATATAGGGTTAATTTTAAAGGAAAATAGGAAGTGCTATTGGCCGGGTACTTAGAATCTGAAAAGTCAAAAGTCCAAAGTCGGGAATACAAGTCGGTAGTCGCTGGGAATTCTGTAAAATTGAAGGGTCGGGTCGGGTCGCATCTTAATTCTCGGCTCTCTCGCATCTGATCCGAAAGGATTTAGCGATCGTAGGGTCTTCTTCCCCTTTCAGATCTGGAATTCGACGGCGTAAGTCGACATAGGCGCTGCGCCTCGTCGGAAAAGCGACGCCTAGGCGAGGACTTGAAAGTAAGGCGAGTCGAATCATCAAGGCGAGATCAAGAGGGCGCCGCGACGCCTAGGTGACGACTAGGCGACGCCGTGATAACTATGCTTGACAATTTCATCAATTATCATATCTGTTTTATATGAAATTACTACAGTGGATTCAGAAATATGGTAAACTAATAACTTCTTCACATAATGGAAGTCAAAATCTCTCAAATACAAACATATGGAGTACAACATACTAAAGTCATAGATGCTGGATTTTCCATTAAATAGAAATTTCTAAGTGTGTTAGATCGTAAGTTTGATTGAAAAAATTAACAAGCTTCTAAGTATTGCAAAATGCATAAGTGCTTATACTTAGGACATCTTAGTTCTTACGTGGACTTTTGTAGTGTAATGAGATTGTTGAGGGGGACAACATTTCACCACACTTTCCCAAGCAACTTGGTGCAACTAGTTTAATTTGCTTTTATTTTTATTAACTTATCAAACATGGTGTAATTGTTTTCTCAATTTTTTAAAACAAATATCTTCATTTAAAAAAAACATTCCAACAATGATGCAAAAGTTAATTTATCAAAAACTATTAAATGTACATCAACCTTTTAACTAACAACCGTGGTTACTATATTCATCACCACATCTACCTTTTCATGCACAGCTCCAATTGTGGACTTATCTTACTTCCATAAACCATGTACTCCCTCCGCCCATAGTTTGTAAGGCGTCGCCTAGGCAATAAGGCATTGTCACTGGGACGCCTTGTTTGCTCGCCTCGCCTAGAAAACCTTAAAGCGATCAGGCGCTTGCCTAGGCGTCGCCTTTGATGCCTTGGGCCCCTTTACAATTTTGAAAAACCCCATTTTTTAGTGCAGCCCATTTTCTTTTAGTGTAGCCTAATAGACTTAAACTTATCTTCTCTCTCTCGGTCTTCTCTATCTTGATCAAGCTTCCTTAAAATGTATAAGATCTAAATATATATGTGTGTGTGTAAGTATGTATGTATGTCGCCTAGTCGTCGCCTAGGCGTGCGCATAGTCGCCTAAGTGATATGAAGATACATTGGTGCCTCGGCTTGCTGCCTTACAAACTATGCCTTCGTCCCAAAATAAACTTCACACTTTCTTTTTTTGGTTGTCCCAAAATCAATTTCACATTTATCCTTATTTCCTATCTAGGAATGAATTATGTGGCTCACAATGTTTCTTTCTAGTCTAATTAAATTTCAATCATCCACTTTTACTTTTCAACAATGTTCTTAAACTTCGTGAAGTCAAACACTAAAGTTTATTTCGGGAAGGATGGAGTACAACATAGGAGTTTTCGATACTAAGCCCATTATTTGTGTGCATTAAAAAATTGAGAACAATCCTATAAGTTGATGCAGGCATTTTAATGCTACAAATACATGGCTTTCATCTATGATTAAGTTGAACTAAAACTAGACATTAACTAATCCTATAAGTTGACATAGACATTCTAATGCCTTTCTTTTCACTTGTTACATAGATGTGTCACTTAAATTTGAGAAAGATGGGATTAACATTATTAACAATATACTCCGTATTAACCAAACACAAAATGACATTTATATTGAATAACCAAACACAAAATGGAATTTATAAATTTTAGACATTATAAATATGCCATTGTTAACTAAATGACCAAACTGTAGTCAACAAGTTGCAAACAAAATTCATAAAGAGTGTAATTCTCAACTTAATCAAGCAAGACAAAAAGCCTTGAATCACAATGCTAACTGCAAACATGTTTTCGTATAAAATGATAAACAACTAAATTAAGCGAGAAATTGCTGTGAAAGTACTGACCACAATATAATTACGCCAAGCTGAAACATCGGAAGCTAACGAAAAGACTGAGTTTATGAACATTTGAGGGATTGTTTTAATGTACCCTGACAAACCCCTTGTGACATCACTCCAGTTCCCTTTGCAGAAATCAAATAGCAGCAAAGCCTTCAGGAGAGATCCGGCATACATAAGAGCAGTTAAAGATAGAGGAAAGACAACAGCTTGCCACTGTTTCACATGCAAAAATCACATTTCAGCACTTGCCGTTTTACAATCTGTGCATCACAAAAGGTTAATGCTGAAAAGGCAAGCCAAGCAATGTGTGACACCAAGAAAACAATTGCAAGAATATTTGATACTCACTATGTGGTCTCTTCTGACACCAAAAGCACCAAGCAAGTTTAATGCATCCCACCTGATCTAGAAACATAATTATATATTTAAATTCAGGCCATCAAACACACTAGAACATATATAGTATACCAAAAAAAAATTTACCTCCACTAATTATAATGTGAGGCATTAAAGAAAAAAACATTAATCACAACACCAACAACCCATTGTAATCCCACCTTCATTGGGGTTTGGGGTCAAGATGTACATAGTACTGTGAAAACAGAGGGTTTTTAGGTTAGACCGGTATATGGATTTCTGCATTTACTACCCAAAACATCATGGAAAATTTAAGGAACAAGAGAAGGGTACTACGTAGTATGTCATATTGATTTTAAAAATATCTTCCGCTCAATCAAAATCTTCATATGGACGCCTTTGAATTTCATAATGTGCTGACAGATATCATGCTTCTACAAATTGAAATGTGTAGTAGGAATTCATACAAACAGCTATACAATCGATCTAAGAATTATTACAGTTTTTCAAAGATAAGTACTATAAAAATAAAACACAAATTGGATCGGATCTTACATGGAGGATGAGAGAGCAGGAGATTACTGAGGCAACGGTGAAAACGGCGGCACATATGAACCGCCGAACCATGAAATCTCTGTATGAACCGGCCGGCGGCAAGCGGAGAATTAGCGTCGGCAGGTAGAGGACTATGACGTAAAATAGAGCCATGGCAGTACATGATAATACCGCCGTCCATTTCGAAACGCCGGTGGTGCCGTAAGCCAAGCTACCAGTAGCGGCTTCATCCGTCGCCATCGGAGTGGCGATTCTAGTCATTCATGGACTATCCCACCGAATTGTGTGTCTGGATATGCGGATCCAACCCATGTTGACTTTCTCTAGTACATGAAAAATTGAAAAGCATTCCTTTTGCCTTGACTTGTTTTAGTCAAATCTTGCAAAATTTTGACTATATACTCCCTCCGTCCCGCTATATTCGTCCACTTTTGACTTTTGTAACTGTTCATCTAAGCACTTTGACTCATCAAATTCTCTCAATGTGTAAGCCTAGATATAGTCATGTGTGATCTTGTTTGATTTGTCTTAACATATAGATTATTAATATATAATTTCTATAATTTTTTAATATACAAATTACAAGATAAAATGGATTAAAGAAGTGTATTGGATTGTGTGCAAAAATGAAAGTGGACAAATACTCTGGGACGGAGAATGTATTAAATATAAGAAGAATTCTCTGGACGGAGGGAGTAAAAAATAATGAAAATCTTAAAATATGAGCCCTAAGTTTTTGAAGACCAAAATAGGAGTTTACACTATCATTGTTATAATGTCACATTCACCACATTATAACATTGTAACTCTCAAACTATTATTGTCACACTGTCATCCGTCGTCATCGGCCGCCAGAGTAGTATTGCGGTGCAGTCATCACTTTTCCATCACACTGCCAACGCGTATTCATACATCACACTGACCTTTTCAAAACGCTAACGCTAAACATTAACGTTGTTGCAAATGAGATTCTTTTAATTCCTAAACTTTATTTTCTCTTGCTAATACTCCCTTGGTCCCGAAAAAAATTACACTTTTCATTATTCAAAAGTTAAGAAAACTTCTATTTTTTGTGTGTTTTGATCGACTATTGGATATTTAAATATCTAATAGTTTTATTTTTAATTTCTATACAAATTTTTAAATATCTAAGTTTTATTTTTAATTTCTATACAAATTTTTAAATAAAATGATTTAAAAATTTTAAAAGTTCACTTCATTTTGCTTAGAGTATAAAGTATTTGGGAATTGGGATGGAGGAAATATAGTACGGAGTATATTAATTTGATCAAACCTCTAGATTTCATTTTCTCTAGCTAAAATATTAATTTGATCAAAAGTTTCATCAATAAGATTTTAGCAAGTTTCTAAAAAATTTGTAAGTCATCTTCTTCTTTTTCGGTAATAATTTGTTCTTCTCTTCTAGAAATAATCAGGTAGGTCTTTGTGTCTCTAACGACTCTCACGATGGCCAAACGAGAATGACCAAATAATATACGAGTAATACAGATGAGGAAGCTCTTCGAGAAGAAGAGAGATTCGAGACTCTATAACAGAATGGGGGGAGAGAGAGAGAGAGTTAAGAGTAGAGATTCAATCAGATCAGATCAGATCCAATCAGATTAGATCAGATCCAATCAAAAATTATTATTGTTGTTGTTGTTGTTATTATTATTAGGAATTATTATTATTATTATTATTATTGTTATTATCATCATCATTATCATTATCATTATCGTTATTACTTCATACTTTTTAAATTCCATACTTTTTACTTGTTTCACTTGATACGATTCTTTCAAAGAATAAATTTAATTTCTCTTGAAAAATATAAGAAGAAAGAAAATGAAACTTTTGTGCGATCATAATTTATGTAGAGAAAAATAAAATGATATGAAACACAATTTGTTTCTTAAAAATGAAAAAAATAAACTTTAGAAACAAGTTAAATAAAAAACTGAGAAAGTAATCCTTAATTTGAGTTTCTAAAGTTATTACATTATAAAATATGAATGAAAAAAAATATTATTACATTATATTATTACGTTATAAATTTGGGATTCAATGAGTAGGATTGAAGAGAATATGAGTTTATAACATTTTATGCAATGTATTATTTATAGTATACAACCTTTTTTTTGTCAAAAACAGATGCAGAAAAATATATTATTTCTTTGCTTAACATTGATATTTTATAAGGATGAGATATTTTAATAATAATAGTATCTCTTCTCTATATTGCTTATCTAAATTTAATTATTTTTTAATGTATATATGAATTGAAAATTTATTCTGATCTAATTGGTATATGAACTAATCATTAAAATATTAAATCAATATTCTTATTACATAAAAACTTTTATCACATTATAATATGAATGATTATTCTAATATATGAATCAACTAATTTTATTTCATTAAAAAATAATCATAAAATAAAAAATATTGATTATATTATAATATGAATTATCATTACAATTTTCAAAAGTTATTATAAAGTCAGATTAAATTATTGATTTTAATTTTAAATCAAATCATAATTAATCAAATCAGATCAAATCCAATCAGATCAGATCAAACTATAAAAAATCAAATCACATCAGAAAAAATAAGTTGAACGAAACAGAATGTAAGTGTCACTCAATTTTTTAAAAAAGAATTATGTTAAGGCCGTCTAAAATAGTACACGATGGATATCCCCCTAGAAAGTTTGGTTTTTGAAGATCCGGGCTATCCACTAGGGTCAGGGTTAACGAGAAAATAGATGAAAAAAATTAGGAGAGAATGAAATTTATTTTCCTAATATGCATTTGCACTTATAGAAAAAATGTAAACATTGCCCAAACATTTTATGGGTAGTCTTTCCATAGTCGTAGGCCTAATTTCAATGACATGCTTACCAAAATTATGAAATGAAAGCTCGAGAAACACTATAAATATTTAAGAATCGAGGAACAAATAAAACAAATATATAAATTGTATAGCTAGTAAGCTAGGTTGACACATTATAATATAGAGGAATGAGTTCAATGGATACCTCAAAGCTTTATATTTCTTTCTTATGTTTGAGTTTCGTCATCCTTGCTTCACTTTCTCCTTCTGGTAAAACCTCACCTTACATAATTTTTTAAATAAAAGTATCTTCTTTTCCAAAGAGATATTTTTCACTACAATATTTTTGCAACATAGAACATTTTTTATGTAATATGTTGCAAAGATAATGTACCAAAAGTGAAAGACAAATACTCTCTTCGTCCCTAAAAAATTGCCACAGTTTGATTTTTTTGGTTAAACTCTGACACTCTTTGACCATGAATTAAATATAGTTTAAAATAATTAAATATTATTAAAATTTGATATTTCAAAACAACATTTTAATATAAATCTAATTTTACTAAATATACATTATAACTAAATATACATTTTCCACAATTCACGGCCAAAGGGTGTCACAATTTGACCAAAAAAGTCAGACTCTGGCAACCTTTTAGGGACGGAGGGAGTATTTTTTTTTTTTTACCAATTTTTAAATGAATTCAATTAAAAATAATTTTGCACAAACATAAAAACACAACAATGAGCATCTAAAAATGATCTGAATGGAAATGAAAATAAAAAGAACATTTAAAAATATTTTCATGAAATTATTTTTTTAAAAAAAAACTCTGTTAAAAATGCAGCAGAAGCATCATTGACGTATGTGTACCAAGGGCCATGTTCAGATCCGAAGTTCAAAGACTGCAATGGGCATTGCATTGGCATTGGGTTTCCAGCTGGTGGAAAGTGCATGCAAGGCGCCCCCGGCGCAGTCCTCGCCTGCTATTGTATCATACCCAATTGATTATTGATTGTCATATTCTAGTCATTAACTTTCTAAGTATTATTATTATGTCAAAAGACATCATTGGGGGATGCTAATAATAAACTAAAGTTGTTTTGCATTTAGATTTGTTTACAAGATTCATAGAAAATATTCCTAAAAAATGTCACGAAAATCTTCAGGGATTTGTTTTTAGACACCCCAAAAAAAGACCGCATATTAATGAATTGTGTTGAACCTTTAAATATCAGGAAAAATGAAAAACGCATGCTGAATTGAAACATATTGAAACGTACGGTTAAAAAAACCGAACAAAAAAAAACAAAATTGAATGTGAAAACCCAAACCATACCTATTCAGTTTCAGTTATTGCTCGAGAGAACCAAACAAATAAGCCAAATCAACATCTTTGTCGTCAATCTCAAGTGAAACATCAAACATGCATAAAAAGCAAATGAAGCGAAAGCATAAAAAAACAATGGAACAAATTTGCATCCATAAAAGGCCATAAAAGAAGATTAATAAAAAGCTAAGCTTAAGAGAGTGATATTGGCAGTTAGATATTCATGCAAGAAGTGAACATTTAGGGTGGAGAGAATGGAATAGTTTTGGGAACGGATGTAACCCTTAGGCGTGTCACATGACAATTATAAAGTGTGTTTAACTCAGCCAAAGTTGGGAATAACAAAGAACAACACTGCATTTACCTGAAAAATGTAAGACACAGGTAGATCTAAATCAACAAATCTGGGTTGAGGCAAAACACGTACATCATTCACAAGAACATTTGAAAAAAAGGCTTACAAAATCGCAAATATAAAGCTGAAATGGCTTCTAAGTTCTAACTTGAAATATTCGGCCCGTAATTAATTCTCAGTGAAAACTCTGCAAAGAGGATGAGCCTCATCCTCGAGGGTCCCCTCAAAACTGGCAGGACGGTCGCCTGAGAAGAAGTAAAAAAAAATCATAATCACAAACTGGCTGGCAAAGGGTAGAGCTTGCACCTAGTACTTGTAGAGGCCTTATGCTTAGCATAGTTGCCTCGCAGCGCAGTTACCGGGAATCGGATTTGGGTTTACCCTCTTTGGCAGCCCCTTGCTCAACCAGCTGAAAAATCTTTGAAGGTTTCAAAAATGGAGAAATTGAAGACCTTGTATGTTTCAATTAAAGGGCATTGTGGATGAACAAGTTTGATACTCCGTCTGCCCTTCAAAAAACTTCAATTTTTCTTTTTCGTCTGTTCCAAACTAATCACAGTTTATCTTCTTTCTTTTAAAGAAAAGAATGAATGGCTAGCAACTCTTCTGTTTCCTCTAAAGTCTAAACAAATCCTAACAAAAAGGTTTTCAGTTTTCAACAGTTCTTTTAAACTCCATGAACTACGATGTTTTTTTACGGGATGGAGGGAGTCTAATTGAAGGGCCTTGAAGATAGATAAGAGAAGCACCACAAGAGATTGTGAGGTTGTGGAAACAATATCACCCCCTAAAATAAAACAAGGAGAAAAGTATTGAATAACCTAAAATGAACCTAGAAATGGAACATATTTTGGATGGCATAAGCTTAGGTAAGACAGTAAGAGTATGGAAGAAATATATATATATATCGTATAGTGTACATACCACTGAGTTCATTAGTCATGTAAGACAACCGTCTTAAAGTGTAAACCACAATGCTTTTGCTCCTGCAAGCTGCCCTTATCAATTTTCCAATTGATTCTGGCGACGCTGTTTCAATCATGAACATTTTAATTGATTAGTTGGTGATCATTAATGGCATTTTCAACATCAAATACAAATTGGCGCGGTTCAAATGACACATGTGTTTGATGTCATAACATAACACCACGCCATTTGATGGCTGGTGCTCCGCTGGGCCCAAGACTGGGGATGAGTTCAAGACGTTGTGCTTGAGCCGTTCGTATATAAAAATGATAGTTATGATAAGATAGGTAGGTTTCAAATACGGGCCTGTTCGATTTTTCAAAGCCAGTTTCATTAATTCTTGAGACATCTAAGAGTATATACCCCCCCAAGAAAACTGCAATTTTGATTACTTGTAGAATCACGACTCAAATAATCCCACTAGACATTTCTATAATCAGCTTATGAAAAGCAGGTGGCACCACCAACATAGCCAGTCATTATAACAATCCACTGCTGTAGGGTGGCTCAAATAGTCCCACCAGACATTTTACAGCAGTGTCTTTCTTGAACAGAGGAATTGGGAAAGTAGGTAAATGGGATCATCGAGCTCTGAAACCATTTAACCTTAATGAAATGTAAAAAATCTCAAGAGGAGTCATATTTATTGCAAATCCAAAAGTTTGATGAAGAAATTGATGGAAACGAGTCGAGTAGCAAGATGACTGCCTCTAGTCCCAAAAATCATCATTATGGCAAACGATTTCTTGAACTTGACTATCTGACCCACTGGTATGTGAGATACTGAGATTGATAGCAAAGCAAAATATTCTGCTCCTTACCCCAACCATAACAAAATTGCCATGGAAATTTGAGAACAAGACCCTACAATCCTAGCCGTCCTTTTTTTGCCAAGGCAATGGAACAAGCTCACTAAAGAGACCCCTCAAAAGAGGAGGCCAAAATGCATGCAAAGACCCCTATTAGAAGCAAAGCACACGCAAATGGTGGGTATACTGATGGTGTCAAGAAAAGCAGTTCAAGAAAAGAACCTATACCTCTCATATTAGGATAATCAATAACAAGTTTTTTGGTTCTCTTAGGAATGCTCTCAATAGCTTGAAAAAGCTTTCCAATTCTATCTTTCCACACCCTGTAATGCCCCGGTGCTGTGGTACAGACATAAAAAAAACTTTGACATTTTATCTATTTTCCGATGGAGCCAAAATTTCACCTGTTTTTGGCTTTGGGGTGTGATGGAATAAATCAAAATGGATATCTAAACTATTTGCGCTTCTTTAATTAATGAAGTAGCAGTTAGTCAAGCAATGCAACTTTCGACGTTGAGCCGAGGGTCTCTTTGGAAACAGCCTCTCTACTTTCGAGTAGGGGCAAGGTCTGCGTACACACACCCTCCCCAGACCCTACTTTTGTGGGATTTAACTGGGTTGTTGTTATTTTTTTTTTATGAAGGAGAAACTAGGACAAAGTCATTATCTACGCTTCTTGCTGGTATAAGACATTATTTCTTTTAGGAGTGGCTAATATATGCGTGTGACCTTCATGAAATTGATCAACTTCATATTTTCCTTTGAAGGCCTCTTTAAAAAAATTTGGTTTACATCCCTCCCTCGCATGTTTTCTTCTACTATTGTTATCAGAGATTTTTCACCAACTAGCAATTCAGCTTGAACTAATCTCGTTTCACGTTTAAAACCTTCTTGCGCAGTGAATGTATTACCACGGAGGCACGGACTCATTGCTCTATCATTAGTTTTTTATTAAATTGCTAATACTAAAATTGACAGAGTGTGCATACCTTTTATAAAAGTCTCATCCATATTCAGACGAACTAAATAACATGCCAACTTTAGGCTTCAATTCATCTTCACATTCCGGGGGTACGTCCCTCCAATGTGCTCATTGCATAACTTACGTTGCTTGATTGTGCAGCCAAATCAGATTCATTTTCATCAATCTCCATTGAAATGTACCTAAAAATAAAAATAATGAAATGAAAGCATAAAAAATATTACAAGATATAGATAATTTTTACAATGAAATATTGCCAATGCAGCTAAAAGAGTCCTTTTTTGACAATGTTTTAGCTTCAGATAGGTAATGGACAAAATTAAGATTCCACATTAAACCGCCTTTGCCTCTTACTTTTTATGAAGTTTTGGGGAGTAAATGCAGCGTTGCATCAAGGGTCTAAAGGAAACAGTTGCTTACATATTGATTATTGACCCCCAGACTCCAACAGAGTTAGGATTATACTGGGTTGTTGTATACAAATATTTAATTCAACTCTATCGTCTTGCTTTCTTAAAAAACCAGTAAAAGAATATAAGAACAATAAAGAAAAAACCACATCATGTAGAAAAGAATAAAGACAAGTTTATATTTAAAAAAAAGGCAATAAAATTAGAAGCAAAAGCTGAGCTTGATAGTGAAGATAATGGAAGTTGTATATTAATGCAAGATGTGTAAAAAGAATTTGTTTGTTTTGAAAGAGGATAACGACTTAGACGTCACGTGACTATTACCAAGCTATGATAATATAGGAACCATCTCAATTATCCCAAAGGCTAAAATTACATTTTTCACATAAACAAATCATTTCCACAAGTTACAAGATATGTTCCCTAAAATTAAATTTGAACAACTATAATTATTTAAATGTTAAAACAAAACCTGAGATGATTAAGAATGAATCATTCATCCTACTGCAGCAAATAGATTACAAAAATATCAAACCAAAACATCCAGATACTTTTGTATTGCATGGGAACCAATGATAAAAAAAATGTAAAATAAATATACATTTGGCTTAGGCTTTAGAAAAGGCAAAGAAATCCTCATCTCAGCTTCGATCATGTAATCCTTTAGCACTCATTTCTGAGCAAATTATACCAGCTTCCACCAACTTTCCTTCTGCCTTGAGGCCAGAAATCAGCTCATCACAGATAGCGAATACTGGCAGAAAACCGTGCTCAAACATTTCTCTGTACCAGATGTATGCTCCATTGAAATCTTTGAGTTTACAATGCCAACTAACCAATGTGTTATAAGTGTCAGAATTAGGAACAATTCCTCTAGCCTTCATGCTATCAAAAACGTTCCGTGCTTTTAGATTATCCCCATTCATCAAATGGCCCATAATTAAGCTATTGTAGGTCATCTTGTCAGCAAGAATCCCTTGTTCTTCCATTTTATTGCTCAGGTCAATTGATTTTCCAACTTCTCCATGAAGTGCATAACAACAAATTAGCTCATTATATACAGCTCTATCAGGAGACAGATTCATTATGGCCATTTCTTGCACAATTTTGTCTGCTAGCGTCCGTCCAGATTCTTCCTTTTTACATGCATTAATTAGTGGATGATATGTGTTTAAGGTAGGTTTAACACCAGCATTTTTCATCTTTTCATACCATTCGAAACACTTGTCAGTGTCCCCTGCACGTGAGTAGCCAGAGATCAAAGAATTATATGTAATAACATCAGGCTTTAAACCTCTTTCTGGAATCTTAAGCATTAATTCCTCGGCTTCTCTTGCCCTTCCCTTTCTACAGAACCCGTTTATTATTGAATTATATGTTACAATTGTGGGTGCAATGTCATTCCCAACCATCTTATCCAAAATCTGGAAAGCATCTTCCATTTTTCCACTGGTGCAACTACCATCTATAATCATATTATATACTTGAACATTCGGCTTTACCCCTCTACCAAGCATATCGTTCACTAGCACCTCAGCCTCAAGAAGCCTGTTGTGCTTGCACAAACAATTGATTAATGAACCATATGTTACTACATTGGGCTTCAGTCCACCGTTCTCCATTTCCTCAAGAATCTCAAAGCACCTATCAAATTTATGACTACACCCATAACCATTCATTAAGATGTTGTATGTCTGCACGGTTGGAAAAACTTGCTTCTCAGCCATCTTTTTAAACCATCCCTCCGCCTCTTCCATCTTCCCAGATTTACATGCCCTACCAATTAATGTGTTAAATGTGGCACAACTTGGCTTCAATCCAAAACTTTCCATTGCTTCAACAGTTGAGACTGCCTTCACCATATTGCCTTCCTTGCAATAGCCATTAAGAACTATGTTAAATATCACCTCTGTAGGGGTAAGTCTACTTTGTATCAACATGTTGACAATCTGCTCGGCTTTTTCAGACTTCCCATTCTTGCACAACACATTCAACAAAATGCTGATAGTATACTCATTTATTTCAACTCCTTTCTTCACCAATTCTTCAAACAACGCCAAAGATGAATCGACATCACTGCACCTTGAGTGCCCGTCAAAGAGTACACTATATGTAAATCCATCAGGAACAAATCCGAAAGTCTTCATTTCCTCCAACACCTTGTTGGCTTCCTCCATTCTCCCCATCTTACAAAGCCCACTGAGCAAAGTGTTAAATGTGATCAGATTCGGCTTTAGTTTTGTATCCTTCAAAATTTTCCACATATTAAAAGCCTCTTCTAAATCCCCCAACTTACAGTACCCATCAATAAGAATGTTAAACGTGACCGTAGTAGGCGTCATTCTTCTCACGAGCATTTCATCAAACAGCTTCCGTGCTTCACCAACCCTTCTCTCTTTACAAAAGCCCCCCATGACCACATTGTAAACAAAGGAGTCCAAACGAAACCTAGACTTTCTCATGAAATCCATCAAACTAAGTGCCCGTTTCAAGTCACCCATCTTCACGGCTGATTGTATAGCCACACCACAACTACAGCTATCGATCTGAATCTCTGCATTCACAGCGTCAGAAAACACTTCAAGAACCTTGGGATACTGTCTCGATGAGTTCAGCATTCCCAGAAACGCATTGAGACCAGACAATGAAGGGAACTTACCCTCTTTTTTCATCAACCCATACAGCTCGCTTGCTTTATCGAGAAGCTTGGAGTCGGCATAGATGGAGAAAAGCATGTCGGCAAAGATTGGCTTGCTGGATGAAGGCGAGGTGACACAGAAGACATTGTACAGTTCGGATACAGAGTTCGACTGGGAGAGGTGAATAAGAAAACTCTTTGCGCTGTCGGTCTGATTCTGTTGGAGGAGGATTCGGAGCTTCCGCAACTCCTCGTGGAGCTTTTTGTTTGCACAATCGCCGGCGGTGATGGGCGGGTCGGGTATGGCGCTAGGGGAGGGTTGCGCCAGGGAGCAGAGGAATTTACGGCTTGCGGCGGAGTGGCGGCTGAGGAATTTGCGCATTCGTTTAGCCATTCTTAGGAATTCGCAAGTCGCGACAGAGCATTTGAAAAAGAAGAAAAAGAAAGAAACTTTTGAGAATCACGAATCTGAGATTCAATATTTGGTTCAAAGAATTTGAGAAGAAGATAAAAAATGAGAAAGAAAAAAAAAATCTTTTCTGTTTAGTTAGACAAGAAAAGAAAACATGAAGAAAAAGGAAAAATGAGAATCTAAAATATACTAGGCGGAAACACTTCTTATATTTTGATGAAAAAAATAAAGAAAATTATTTTCTTTTCCTTTCAAAATTTTTGAACTAAGCACAAACAAAATTATATACTACCACTTTTTATGTTCGAATTAAGCAAATTATTAATAACTTTGATCAAAATACTATAAACCATAAACTAAAATTTATTTGAGGATAAGAAAGTATTTTTAACAAATAAAAAGCAATCAAAAGATTAAAGAAAAGTAATTAAAAATATTGAAGAGGAGAAAAAACAGTGAATGAAGAAAAACATGGTGGAATGAGTAAGGTCAAAGGATATAATTGTCACTTTAGTTGGCTTGGAAAAAAAGTGGAGTGCCATTAGTCATTGCTGGAGTGCAAATATCAATAGCCTTAGCAGAATGCTTAAACATAAAATGAAGAGTGGTTTTACACTTTTATTGAACCTTATAATGCTGGAAGGGCTTATATGATTAGTCATCTTGCTTATGAAGATGATTCAATCATTTTTTTTAAATGGGAGCACCTTAAGATTTTAAGATTCAAGGTATTAATGAAGGCCTATTTGACAACTTCAATAGATGTGAATATTAAAAAAAGCAAGTTCTATACGAACGGTAGAATCACTAAAAGATTTATAGAGTGTAAATAGAAAGTCTTGGATATGACGTGATAATTTTCCTTTCACCTACTTGGGTGCTACAATGTGTAGAGGTAAACTAAAGAAAATTTGTTGTGATAAACTTCTCACATATTTCGATAAATACCTAAAGAGTTCGTTTAATAAGCCAATAAATCAAATTGAAAGATTGATTCGAACTTCTCCCGTGTTTGAGTGGTAGCAAGCTCATTACTGTTTACTGTGGGTCGCCATGTGGGGTTTGGACCACTCATCCTTTTGATTGTTGCTTAGGGCCTGTTTGGAAATAGCGTTAGCGATTGATGTTAGCGTTTTGGATAAAATTTTAACGGTGCATATTAATTTGAAAACGCTAACGCTAAACGCTGCATGTAGATAGCATTTTGAAAATAGTAAGGTTAATCTCTAGAACTATTCCCAAGAGGCCTTCAAACATAAATAGGTTCGAACTCCTCCAAGAGTTGGTGATCAATTAAACTTTACGAGAAAAGTGCACCGTTTACCCTCGAATTCTTTGAAAATTATACGATTTACCCCCGAACATTAAAAAGTGCACCAAATACCCTTGAATTCTTTAGTAATTGCACGTTTTACCCCTGAACAATAAAAATTGCACCAAATATCCCTAAACTCTACAAAAATTGTACTGTTTACTCCTGAACATTTAAATAAAGACGACAATTTTGGGGAAAGGTACTTTGGAAAAATCACAAGGGTCAGATGAATCATATTCGCAATTGTTGTGCGTGGAAGCAAAGTACTCCCTATCTAATAGTTTAGGACCAACGATGCAACGGTTTAATTTGTTCAAGGGTATTTGGTGCATTTTTTAGTATGCAGGGGTAAATCGTGCAATTTTCAAGAAGTTTGAAAGTAAACGGTGCAATTTTTATAGTTCAAGGGTAAAATATGCAATTTCTAAAAAGTACGGGGTAAACAATGCACTTTACTCTAAACTTTACCTTCTTAAATGTTTTGACCTTTGAATATAAATTAATCCTCCGTAATAACGAGAAGTGGAACCAAGGAGGGCTCTACGAGGCAGTGCGGCGGCTCAGACACACAACCGCCGCGAACCTCGTGATGACTTTCTTCGACGATTCGTTCGAGCTCAAGGAGATACAGAGGCTCGAAGGCCACAACGACAGGGTCTGGAGCGTCAGTTGGAAGCCGGCCACCGGTACCGGCGGCGTGCCAGCAGTGCTCGCCTCCTGTAGCGGCGACAAAACCGTTCGTATTTGGGAACAGACTTCCCCATCTGGCTCTTTCCATTGCAAGGTTTGGAATTTTGTTTGATAATCGGACTTGATAATAGGTCTTTTGAATTATTCCTCTTTGCGTTATACTACTTGTTCTTCCAAGTTTATTCATGGAGCTATTGAAGCTTGTAATAGAAATTTCAACTGTTTGAGAAGTTTGTGTCCAGAACTAATGCCCTTTTTTTTAGAAATAAGGGGATGATGATGAGTTGATAATGGATTTTTTTACTTCTTCCATTCCAGAATTGTGGTCTCATTACTATTTTGTTCTCCCGATAGATTTTGTTTATTTGTGTGTTTTCATTAATTATTTGATAAAATTAAAGATTCTTATCATTACAGAACAAAGTATGTAATTTGTAGTTTTTATTTTTATACCAATTTCTAAATAAAATATTTTTAAAAGATATACTCCCTCCATATCTGAGTGTTTGTCCACATTTAACTTTTTTCGGTCAAATTAGTAAACTTTGGCTACGAATTAAATATAAATGAAGATATTGATATAATTTTATAACATTTGTTTTATAAAGTATTTTCAAAATATTATATTATCGAGTTAATATGCTATATATATTTAATTTAATTAAAGGTCGAAGGTTTAAAACAGGTGACTGCAAAAAATCATAACTGAACAAATACTCAAGGACGCAAGTAGTAAGATTTTGCACCTTGTTCGAAGAGAGACAATTATTTTAGAAACGAGGGAGTAGGATTTATCGTTCATGTGACCTCAGATTCTCAGAGGTCTTTTATCCTCTAGGTCCTTGGTATCATTAACACTATGTTTGGTTCAAAGGAATTAAAAGGGAAAAGAAAATGTGAGAAGAAATACACTAACAATAACCTCTGCTTTGGCGAGGAAAAGGAGAGAACACATATTTCTCTTCTTTTCCTTTCGAATTCCATGAACCAAACATAGTGTTAAGTGAAATAGATGTATTTACTCAGCAGTTTTTGATATTTAGTTTGTTAAATTATATTCATGCAGTCAGTTCTAGATGAAACCCATACTAGAACCGTTAGATCCTGTGCATGGTCACCAACTGGTAAATTGCTTGCAACTGCAAGTTTTGATGGCACCGTTGCTATATGGGAAGAAAATGGAGATGATTTTGAGTTTGTCAACACTTTAGAGGTACTCTATATTTCTTAGTACTAGTAGAAATTGTTGTATTCTTGACAACCCCCCTCCCCCCCCCATTTTATTACCATGAAAGTATTTCCCAAATAGGGGAATCAAGGAAGATAGAAACAAAGCATTTATCAGTTTTTTCACAACCTGGTTTTGTTCCAGTTTTTACTAAGTACTAANATAGACTCGTCCTTCTGAAAACCATATTTACTTTCTCTGTTTCTCAATTTAAACTCCCTCCCAAATGTATATTACCTTACGGGCCAGAGGGAGTGTCATATAGTACTCATGCTGCATTTTCAGTTTCTTCTTAAATGGTCTAGATTTTTTAGTCATTCAGATCGATATTTCCATGTATCTTGTACATGCAACAAATTCTAAGCATTTCTTTCCCTCCTTTTTCTTCACCCTTTGAACATTCTTCAAGTTTCCTCATTTTAATCTGTACTGGCATGTTGACTTACATTAGGGTCATGAAAATGAAGTCAAAAGTGTCTCGTGGAATGCATCAGGCACTTTGCTTGCAACTTGTGGACGAGACAAATCAGTTTGGATATGGGAAGTTATGCCTGGCAATGAATATGAATGTGCTTCTGTGCTGCAAGGCCATACACAAGATGTTAAAATGGTCCGATGGCATCCTTCTGTGGATATTCTTTTTTCATGCAGTTACGATAATACTATCAAGGTAAATGTAACATTTAAAACACATTTGACTCTCAACAACCAAGCAGATTCTGAGCTTTTCTAGTCTAGATGTCATGAAAACTCGTTTGTATAACAACAATATGAACTCAAGCCTAATTTCTGAATTACAAACCATACTTGAATTACAAACTATTTGGTTCAACTCGGGTGGTTTACCGCCCTACCTGTTGCCTATGTAATTCTCAAAATTCATTTCTTCAAAAGTTGACATTGCTTGTGGATCAAATGACAGGTTTGGGCAGATGAAGGTGATAGTGATGATTGGCATTGCATTCAAACATTAACTGAATCTAACAGGTGACAACTTAACTTCTCTACTGCTGACTTGTGCTCAAACCCTACTCTCGTGGGATTCAACTGGGTTGTTGTTGTTGTTTTTGTGCTGACTTGATACAATTGTTTTTTAAATAAACTGTATGTTGCACATTGTTATTAATATGTTTTTGAAAATTTGTTTTGTATTAACATGCCACTTTCAAATGCATAATACCAGCAATGCTGCATAAGATTTTTCAAAGCTGACTCAGCCTTGTTCTCATTACAGCGGGCATACATCAACAGTTTGGGCTCTATCTTTTAATGCCTGTGGAGATCAAGTGGTTACTTGTAGGTAGTAATCATACTTCCACAATCATCTTCTCTTATCATCACCACCACCACCACACCATCATTTTAAATCCCATAGCCATGAGCTGCTTTTGATACATTGTTGGATTATTGACATAGCTAGAAGTGCTAACATTGTGCTGTTCAAATTAATTTACAGTGATGATCTTTCCCTAAAGATATGGGGTGTTGACATAGAAAGAATGCAGTGTGGTGATGTAAATGTGCCTTGGTAAGTGCATTTATAGTACACGTTATTTGTATTTATCTTTAAATGCATGCATACTTGTAAATTACCAATATTACATACTCTATAGTTTTGATTTAGTCCATTATTTACTCGAAGCTAAAGCACTAAAAAAATGCCAAATGATATTATAAAACTAATTAACACTTCAAATTCATGGGAAAAGTATAGTTTTAGTCTGGATGCCTTTGTCTTGCAAAGTTGCTTTAACTTGCATCAGTTAACAAAGCTTTCTCTGAACTTTTATGGTTTATGAGATTGCAGATAAGTTTATGTATTCATTAAGTGTCCTTTAACTTTTAAGTATATAAAAAGGAATCACCATCAATTGAAATGGGAGTCATGGAATTGACATTTGCTCCCTCCATTGCTAAAAGTATGTCATGCTAAAGTTCACATATTTAAATACCACAGCTCGCAGTAATATGTATATATCAATATGTAAAAGCTGAATTTAAGTGTGATATAACATACATTTAGAAAGTAGGCAAAACTGCAAAAATGTTTATTAAGAAAATTAACAACTGCCATGCTAATCAACCGTGTTATCTATTTTTCAAACTTCTGATTATTACAATGGCATCGTCATGTTCACATCTTCCCAGGAGGCATATTAGTACTCTCTCTGGATACCATGATAGAACAATTTTTTCTGTACATTGGTCAAGGTATCGATTCTTTCTATCAGTTATCAAAGTTTTTTTATTTACTTTTGATTTATGCGAGCTTATGTGATTTATGAAATATTCCAGAGAAGGGATAATTTGCAGTGGAGCGGCTGATGATGCTATACGCTTATTTGTTGAGAGTGAGAAAGATAACAGTGTGGTATTCGTCAACTCACCCTACAAGCCTTGTCCCCATTAATACTCCGTATTTGAATCGTTACTTAATTTTCATCTCGATCAGGTGGATGGGCCTACATACCGCTTACTTTTGAAGAAGGAAAAGGCCCATGAGATGGATGTAAATTCTGTGCAGTGGAACACTGGGGTAAGTATTTGGATTTAGAGAT